TTTTCTCTGGACACCCCGCGCAGGAACAGGAACGCACACACACACACACCAACTCACACTCACTCACACTCTCTCATCATCAACCTCATCAGCATCATCGATGATGCTCTCTCACATGCTTAGTCACTCACATACTCATCATCATCATCACTCGCACTCTCTCACACGCTCACGAACATCATCATCATCATCATCATCAGCATCATCATCATCGGCATCGGCATCATCCTCATTCAAACATCATCATCGCCACCACCATTCACAATCAATCATCATCTTCTTCACCACTCATCTTCACCACCACTCATCATCCTCATCCTCATCATCGTTGAGTAAATTGTGAGGAAGTCTCAGGCGGGAGCCCCCTCCCTATGGGGCCCGCAGATCATGTTGGTAATCCGAGCGGGTCATCGGAACCTTGTAACTGTCGTCACTTTTGGGCTCCCCAGGCCTGAAAATGGAGGAAGTCTCAGGCGGGAGCCTCGTCTGTGAGTGAATTCTGAGGAAGGCTCAGGCGGGAGCTCCCTCCCTATGGGGCCCGCAGATCATGTTGGTAATCCGAGCGGGTCATCGGAATCCTGTAACTGTCGTCACTTTTGGGCTCCTCAAGCCTGAATTTGGAGGAAGTCTCAGGCGGGAACCTCGTCTGTGAGTGAATTCTGAGGAAGGCTCAGGCGGGAGCCCCCTCCCTATGGGGCCCGCAGATCATGTTGGTAATCCGAGCGGGTCATCGGAAACCTGTAACTGTCGTCACTTTTGGGCTCGTCAAGCCTGAATTTGGAGGAAGTCTCAGGCGGGAGCCTCGTCTCTGAGTGAATTGTGAGGAAGTCTCAGGCGGGAGCCCCCTCCCTATGGGGCCCGCAGATCATGTTGGTAATCCGAGCGGGTCATCGGAACCTTGTAACTGTCGTCACTTTTGGGCTCTTCAAGCCTGAATTTGGAGGAAGTCTCAGGCGGGAGCCTCGTCTGTGAGTGAACTGCGAGGAAGTCTCAGGCGGGAGCCCCCTCCCTATGGGGCCCGCAGATCATGTTGGTAATCCGAGCGGGTCATCCAAAACCCGTAACTGTCGTCAATTTTGGGTTCTCGCGCTGCCAGAGCGCAGTTCCCAGGCCACATTTTGGACGCAACAAGGAAGTTCTTGGGCTCCTCAGGTCGCCGAGGTGCTGCGACAGGGCGCCGAAGGCGCCGACGACGACGGCCAGGCCGAGGCGCGGGCGCGGAGCTTGCTGATGTTCAGGCCCAGCGAAAGGGAGTTCACATGGCAGAGCTCGGGGGCGCACAGCGTGCGCCGCTCGGGGTTCACCCTGACGCACGCGTCCTACCTGACCTCCACGCTGTCGCAGGGCCAGACGCTGCGCAAGGGCGTCACCATCGACTGCGCGAGAGACGAGGACGCTGGCCGCACGGGCATGTCGGACGAGCAGTGGTGGCTGCACCTCTACGTCATGTTCTCCCGCGCCACGTGCATGCGGAACATGCTGATCCTGCGGCCGCCGCCGCGAGAGTTCCTGGAGTGCGGGCCGCCGGCGTCCCTGCGGAAGGCGCCCCTGGAGTTCGACGAGAGAGCGGTTTTGTCCAGGGCGGAGGCGAAGCAGCTCGCGGCAGAGCTGGGCTTCGCGCTGCCTTCCGCCTGAGCGCGGCTGCGCCTCGCTCGAAGCCCGCGGGGTTGTCCCAACGGTTTGGTCTTGCGCGCCAACGGCTCGCGGGGTTGTCCCGACAGCCTGGCCCGCGGGGTTGTCCCAGCGGCTGCGCGACGTGACCAGTAGAGAACGCGCCTGCGCTGGCCGTGGCGGCGACGGCGCCGAGGAACATCGACATGCGCGCTCATGCAACAGGAAGGGGAGGAGGTGGCGGGGCGCGGAACAAACAGGGGGGCGAGGATGGGGACAACGTAAGGAGTGGAAGGGGGGCCCGCGCCAAGGCGAGAGGAAATATACGCA